GATATCCAACCAAATAATGAGATGCATCCACTATACGAAGTGGACAGTTTTGAAGCCAGCCACCTTTCTTGACTTTGTGTTTTGGTGAATTCGAGCTGACGTTTCCATTGAATTTCCCAAAAGTTGTTATCATCCAGGCACCAGTGGACTGCAGTCTCGTCCTCGCATCGGTCTTATCAACACCCTCAGCGGGACTCGAACCATGACAGTGCAGAATGGGAGCTTGACACGTCAACCACTCGACCAAATTGCCACGAGTGCCCCTTGGTCATAGGGCAGATGTGGATTTCAAGGAAGGCCATGCCTTTTGCCATATCATATTCTTTGGTGGAATTGTCGATGAAGCAAACGTATATTTGCTATAACAATCGACTAATATACTTTTTTTCGCATTAATTATTGTTTCGAGACCACCAGTAAATCAGTAGTATGAGATGTATTTACCCAATTTCGTTTAAGGTGATGAAGGAATGGTAGAATAACTTTCCCACAATGACATGAGTTGAGCTGACGTTTCCTTTGAATTTCCCAAAAGTTCTTCTCATCCTTAAATGAAATTGAGTGAATACATCTCATATTGAGAATTTACTTTATTTTTCGAATTAAATATTGTTTTCGTGACTACCAGTAAATCAGTAATATCAAATGTATTCAGCCAATTTCGTTTAAGGTGATGAAGAAATGGTAGAAGAAGAATTTTCCCATAATGATATGAGTTGAGCTGACGTTTCCTTTGAATTTCACATAGTCTTGCTTTGCCAAAAGTTGTTCTCGTCCAGGCACCAGTGAACTGCATTTTCGACTTCGCATCGGTCCTATCAACACCCTGAGCGGGAGTCGAACCAGGACAGTGCAGAATGGGAGCTTGACACGTTAACCGCTCGACCAAATTGCCGCGAATGCCGTTGGGTCACAGGTCAAATGTGAAGGCCAGACCTTTTACCATATCATATTTTTTGCTGGGATTGTCGATGAAGCAAATGTATATTTGCTGTAACAATCGACTACGTTACTTATTTTCGTATTTGAGTAGAGTCTCGAGACTACAGGGTCTCAGGGCGGTGCGCTGATGACCTTTTCGCACAAATCTGCAATCACAGCTCCAAGGCAATCCCTCGACAGCTTTCGATGAGACCAACATACGAATCCCTTCCATTCGCCGCTTCGAACGAAACGAGAGCAACTCCAACCTCAATGGATGATGAGTCAAGCCTGCGTCCGGCTCCCGGCTGCGCGAAGGGGTACATTCTGTCTCGAGTCTAGAAGTCAGGCCGCAATGAGGGTGACGAAGAAAAGGGTTCAACCGGTTTGGTCAGACGGTGCAGCCCATGACTACAAGCCTTTTTTTTCCCCGTCTTTTAAATTAGTTTCTGTTCCCTTCTGTTGCCAGGTGTTTATCATCGGTTCAACTTGAATCTGCCCGACTTCCTTCCCGTCCGTGGCATCTGCGGTCATGCTGGGCTCCTCGGGACCAGCTCCTCCGTACCCGGCCTCCTGACTGGCGCATCAGCTGCCTCGTGTCGCCAGGCGACGCCCGGTTTGTCGGGTCTATCCAACCAGGCCGGTTCACCGTTGCTGTCGTCGTCTTTCGGGGCAACGGCTGGGCTGGCTTCCGCCTCGTCGCCACTTCTTCTCGACTACACACTCGACTCTCCGCTCACTCGACTTGGCTTTTTTGTCGCCATCGAGGTAGGCCGAGCTCTTCGACACACGTTGTCATTGCCGCCGACGTATCAACAGCAGTCCAGTTCAGAGGACGTTTTGGGCCTCAACTTTGCTGTAGTCTCGGCGGCTCACAGCGTTCAAGATGGAGTCCGGCCGGTCGGATCCAAACCGACCGTCACAGACCTGGCGTCTAGTCAGAAGCTTGTAGTCTATGCGTCGCCGGCGCTGCGCTGCGTTCAGACGGCATATGCACTACTGGTCG